AGCAGAGCAGGGCAGAGCAGAGCAGAGGGCCGGCTCGGCTCGGCTCGGCTCGGCTCCAGGGGCGGACCCTCCCCAACACCGGAACGGCGACGGGGGTGGAGGGAGGGGAGCGGGAGCAGCAGCAGCCGCCGCCGGGCCGCGCTGCGTGCCCGTGCCAAGATCCCGGGGAAGGAGCAGAGGGAGCGGCGTTACCTGAGCGACCCGAGCCGGAAGAGCCCGACCGCCACCGGCACCCCCGCGCCGCCCTGACAGCTCCCGGCGTGCACCGCGCCCGCCCCGCCCCGCCCGCTGCGCTCAGCCGCGCTGCGCCCCCTGGCGGGACGCGTGCTCAGGGGCGCGGGCTCCGCGGGAGTGCGTGTTTGTTTATCTCGCCTGGTATTTACGGAGCTTACCAAATACAGCGCAGGTAAACATGGAAAGTGGGGGCTTCTTTAGAAAATTATAGTGCAACAGGTTGCCCAGTGAAGCTGTGAATGCCCCATCCCTGGAAGTGTTCGAGGCCAGATTGGATGGGGCTCTGAGCAATCTGCTGTAGTAGAAGGTGTCCCTGCTCACGGCAGCAGGGGTTGGAAGGAGATGATCTCTAAGATCACAGAATCAATTAGGTTGATAAGATCTCTAAGATCATCGAGTCCAACCTACGATCAAACGCTACCGTGTTAACCACACCATGAACTGAGTGCCATGTCCAGTCTTTTTTTAAACATCTCCATTGGAATGTGACACCTGTTCCAATGTCTAACCACCCTTTCTGTGAAGAATTGCCTCTGGAAGTCCAACCTGAACCTCCCCTGGCACAGCTTATGACTATGTCCTCTTGTCCTCTCTCTGGTTGCCTGGCAGAAGAGGCCAATCCCAACCTGGTCCTTTCCAACCCAAACTGGTCTGTGATGCCATGATGTGATATTACCTTTATGTTAGCAGTAGCTGTAATGGGAATTTTCTAAAATTTCTTGTGGTTAGTATGCTTGAATCCTTACTACACATGAAAGTGTATGGGTGCCCACAAGGATGGTATTCAAAGGACATTTTTTTACTGCATTGCAAGAGTGATTTTTCAACTGGCCAGTTCCACAGTACAAAGGGTACAACTCTTAGACTGTAATCTGTTCGTTTTAAGTCATCATTACAGTTCTCAAATTTAAGCAAGCTTCATAATAGCAAACAGAGCTTATGGTTATAAATTACTTGAGTAACTGCAAAATAAAAAAATAAAAGGTGTGTTCAGCTTACATGATTAATATTTTAGGCTTTGTCTGAAGACAGTATTTCTAAAATATTGCCAGGGGAAAATCTCATAATATTTATAAATTGTCTACTCGGTGACTTACGTTGCCAGCCAATATTTAATGAAGTCTAACTTTATTCTCCAGACTTGGGATAATAATAAAGAGTAAATGCAATTCCGTTTCTCATTAAACTATACCAGGAATCAGTAAATGAAAAATAGTAACTTTTTGGAAAGCTGACAATTTCCACTGGTTTTCTGAGGCATCAAGTATGACTCTACGTGTCATGTATTTTTATTAAAATAGTACACTTAATTTTTTTTTCTTTGAGGATACTTATAAATGCCTTTGAGAAGTAATTGTTAACTAGGTTGGTCGTGCTTTTGGAGCTATTTAACAGTGGTGAACTTCACAGAGGGGAAGTGACTGCCCATAACTGACCATGTGCTTTCACATGCTACTGCATTGCAGAGCAGCTGGATTTCTAAGCTTCCCTTGTGCTGAATTTAGTTGTGGCATTTACAGCTCAGAGCTCCAAAACATTTCTTTCAAATTGCCTCATCGACTTTATGTACAGTGGCAATCAAAAAAACATTGTATGTCGTTGGGAAGAATATTGAGAACAAGACAGAGGTAGTTGTTTGGCTGCTGTGTAAAAGGCTGGTGCAGCCTCAGATTGATTGTGGCATCAATTCTTGTCTTCACAGCTCAAGAGAGATGTAGAGAAGTTGGGAAAGGCACTGTGGAGAGATGTCACTGCTATATTACAGCAACAGCAATAATGACTGTGACTGTTCAATGCAGAGACAGAAGGCAAAGTAGAGTATTGATCAAATTCTACAAAATCACAAAAGGCAACAAAGTTGTTGTTAACTAAACCCCAGAGTATGAGAATGAGGAGGCACAGAGAATTATTTTCTACAAAGCAGAAAACTTCTAAAACATATTGGCACCAGGGGCTGGGGACTTGGACACTATCTGTAGGTTGAAGGATACATTATTCATATTGATGACAAACACATCTATAAGTGGACACTGAAGGAATTGGGTAGGGATGTACTCACAGGGGAAGTATCTGGAAACAACCACATTACGGAGCTCTTCCTTATTTTACTGATGTTGGAGTCAAAATACTGGGCTGGGTCCAGCTCTGTAGAAATCTACCTTCCTTTCTCTGTAATTATTTCACAGCAGAAATGGTGAGAAACCTATAATAGACAATTTTGAATAAGTGAGGCTCACACCCTGTGAACACTTAAGATTATTCATAACTTTGTAGATTTGCTAAGCCTTTGTAACATCAAAGGCCCTTTTACTAATACTAGGAGTCAATTCTCCTATAATTACATGGGGTTTATGTTTGACATATGACCTACTTGTCCACAACAATTTAGTTCACAATATAAATTTGTTTGTGAAGTAATTTGAAATGAAACCCACCACTTGGACTAATTATTTTTCTTCCTTAAAAAAAACAAAAGGAAACAAACAACAACAACAGAACCCCACACCACCACACTCAGAACAGCAGTACAGTCCCATCTTAGAACACTTCAATAAATTCATGCTTTGTAAAAAACAACAAAATAACTCAGTTGAAACTGTCTATTGCCTGCTGTATTTTTTCCCCACAAAATCTAACCCTACTCCATTTTCTTCTTTGGGACTCTCCTACTTGGTTTTGATAACTCCAAGGACTATGAATTATTTCACTATAATCCTGTATTTGATCATACATTGCTATAAAAGTAACCTGTGCAAATTTGCCTATTTGTTTGAAGCTTTACAGATCATGTTTTCAAATAACTCTCTGCAACCACAGAGGGTCTTGTGACTTCTTAAAAAGTAAACACTTCTAACATTGCAGAAAGAGTCCTTTTTTTCAAGTGAAAATTTCTTTCTATGGTGTCCTTGAATACTGAGCATCAACTTACATACTGTGAGGGTGGCATCCTGGATGAAGTGTGCAGTGGTGGCAGTGTTCATAGGGTAAGGGAAAGTCACAAAGGCGTGCCAGGGTGGACTTAGAGTCTCTTGATAAAAGATCTCATGAGGGGCAGTAGAAAACCTCACCCTTGAGCAGCAGCTGCCTGAGTTTGCTATGAGTACAATGTGACAGCATTCAAGAGCTAGGTGCACATGGATTGGGAGGAATTCAGAAAGACTTGTAAAGCTGCAAGAAAGGGTGGAAAGGGTTTTCTCTTCACAAGGAAAAGGGTGAGTAGTAGTGCCACAGGACACAGTCCCTAGTACTGGGGAGCCTGCCAGCAGTCTCAGCAGAGGCCTCTGCACAGACTGAACTTTGCAGTCATGATGGAGTGACCCCAGCCGGCTGCTAGCTCAGGGGTAGAACCAGAAGAGCAAAAGCATGAAAAACTGTGGGTTAAGATCATAATGTTTTAGTGGATGAGGGAAGTAACATACAGACAATCACTCACCACCTCCAACAACAAGACTGCTGATGTTCAGTCAATATCTGAGCAATGGTCAGTTTGGAAGGACTATGCCCTGAGTTTTTACTGTCACGCCTGATGTTATGTGCCATGGAACATCACTTTGGTCGATTCAAGTCAGCTGTACAACCTCTTCCCCTGCCCCAGGCTCTTCCCCACCTCCAGCCTATTTGCTGGGTGGTGCAGAGCGAGACCCTGAGGAAGCCTTAACAGTGTGCAAACACCATTCAGCAACAGCTAAAACAGTTTACGATAAACCCTGTTTGGCCACGAATCCGGAGCACGCACCCCCAGGCACAGCCCACAGCTCCTGTGGGGAGGTGCCCGATAGAACAGACCCAGGCTCCTCCCGGCGGTGGTGTGGCAGGAAAGCAGGAGATGACAGCCCGATGTTGACACAGCAGAGACTGGGCATAAGAAAACCCCGTGAGACCAGCCGGTTGCGCAGACCTGGACCTTGGGGCTCGGGACTCGAAGGGACTCGTCCCTGGGCCCCCAGGCCTGACTGTACGGCCAGCAGCGGCCAAGCCGGGGGCGCAGCAGACCCCGGGACACCCTCCCGCCACTGCCTCCCAGGGCACCGTCGGTGCCGAGCTGCTGGATCCTGCGCTTGGATCGCAGCCACGCCATGCAGTGCTACGGCCTTGGGGAGGAGTGACCTGGGAGCTCTTCGGCGGAGAAGGATCGAGGGGGGCTGGCGAGGAGCGTAGGAGCGAGCAGTGCCCAGGTGGCAAAGAACGCCAGTGGCACCTTGGCCTGTATCAGGAACAGTGTGGCCAGCACGACCAGGGCAGTGGTGGTCCCTCTGCTTTGCAATGGAGGCCTCACCTCCAGTGCTGTGATCAGTTTCTGGGCCCCTCAGTTTAAAAAGAATATTAATGTGCTGGAGCGCGTCCAGAAAAGGGAAACGGTGCTCTAGAAAACTTGTCTTAGCCTCAGCCTCAGGAGCGGCTGAGGAGCTGGGGTTGTTTAGTCTCGAGGAGGGTCGGAGGGACCTCACTGCTCTCTACAGCTGCCTGAAAGGAATTTTTGGGGGCTGGTCTCTTCTGCCTTGCCTACTGTGACAGGACTAGCGGGAATGCCCTTAAAGTGATACAGGAGACATTCAGATTAGACCTTATAAAAATCTTTTCCACCGCTAGGGCGGTCAAGGGCTGGAGAGGATTTGCCAGGGCGGTGGTGGAGTCGCCATCCCTGGAAGTGTTGAGGAGGCGCCCGAATGCAGCGCTGGGTGATGTGGTTTAGGGGCGACTCTCTGATCCCACGCAGGCGGCGCTGTGACGGGCGGGCGGCGGCGCCGCGCCTGCGCCGGCGGGAGGGCGGCAGCGTTCCTCATGGAGATCAGGCGGGCGACGCAGAGCGCGCTGCTGGTTGTCCGGTAGTGCGGGGCGCTGCCGCCCGCCGCCACTCGGGCCGGGCGGGGCAGCCGGGGGACGCGGCGGGTCTGGCTTTCGGCGTCCTTAGCCTTCAGCGCGGGGACCGGGTTGCCTGCGGGCTCCTCCCCCTGCTTGTTCGGCTCGGCACTACTGTGCAAATAAATTTTTCCTGAGAACGGTGCATTGTTTCTCTCGGCTGCTCCTCGTTCACCGCGTGGATCTCGGGGCGCGACTGGGGCTGCGGGGGAGCTGCGGGCCGGCCTGTGTAAAGCAGCAGCGCACCCCGACAGCTCCTTCCTGAGGCATACCCGTTGCTTTTCCTCCGCAGCGCGGCGGCGGAGCTCCCCAGCGCGCCGGTGGAGGTGTCGGTGTGCGCGGATTCCCTGGAAGTGAGGAGCGGCGGGAGCTGCGATGCGGCGGCGCTGCCGGCAGGGGTCAGCCTGGCGCCGTCCTCGTGCCGCGGGCTCCGGCGCCTGCGCGGGGACGGGCTGCACCTGCGCGTGCGCCTGCGCCGCCTGCCGCCCGCCGCCGGTGAGGGCCGGCAGGGGCAGGGGCTGCGAAACGGGGGAGGGAGATCTGGGACATGGGAGGTTTAACTGAGAGAGGCTGTGAAGTGTGGATTCTGTAGGGCAAACACCTTCTGGAATTGTCAGTTTTAGAAATTGAAAGTGTAAAAATGACGTAATGAAAGGGAAACGCGGTGTGTTTGGGATCTGCTCACAGTTCTCCCCTCCTGTGCTTCCCCATAGTACTTCAAAGTGATTTTCTTTCTCTCCTGTTCCGCATTTGGTAGGTGAAAATCGTAGAATGATAAAATGCTAAGGGGTTGGAACGGCCTTTAAAAATCATCTAGTCACAAGCTCCCGCTGCCACTGGCAGGGATACATCCCGCTAGACCAGGTTGCTCAAGGACTTCCCCAAGTAGGCTTTGAACACTGCCAGGGTTGGGGCATCCTCAGCCTCCCTGGGCAGCATGTGCCAGTGTCTAACCACTCTCACTGTAAAGAATTTCTTCCTAATATCTAACCTAAACTCTCTTTCTTTAAATTTGTACCCATTCCTCCCCATCCTATTGGTAATGGAGTAATCTGATTCATCCAGGCAACCGCTATGCTTATCCAGCCTTAACCACTTAATCAGAAAGGGTTTGTGTTGGGACCCATTATTCTCATAGCTGGGGTTTCAGAGGTTAATGTCACAGGTAATATCTGCAAAGTTACCTTCTTTACTTCCATGATGCTAATTCAGGTCTAGGATGTGTTTGCAATAAATAGAAGGCATGAGAGTACAGCTGTTGCTTTCTTTCATCCTGGCATCCAAGCTCAATATGTTTGGATTCATTTCATACGATGTGACACAGAAAGATATATTAAATATCACACAATTGCCATTCTGAGCTTTTAAAGTAGAAAAGGATGATAAAATGCATAATATACAGTAATGCAACACCAGAAGCACATTGGAATACTCTGTTGGTATGCTGAGATGGCATCTGTACTTTAATCTGTAATTATGCCTGTGCTTTGACAACTCAGTTATACTAAAATTACTTAATGTGTCCTATTAACAAGACATGTTTCAAAAGACCAACGATGCACTTTTAAAAATCAACCTTGGAAAGTCATGCTAGTGAAAAATAAATATGTGAACGAGGTGGTAATCAACATGTATATTGGATAGTCTTAGTTACCCTTTGATGTTTTATATTATTATGCAAATTAGTTGAAATTCTGGAATGTTTTAAAGTACTTTTCTCTTTGATTGTATCCTAAATTTCAAATACTGAATGTCAGTGCTGAGAGTAAACTTTGATTTTTAATTTTGAGAAAGTGGGTGATGCAAAGCATATTCATACCTAGAACTAGGCTTTAAGTTTTACTTTCCTTCCACTTAATGTTGCCAGATAATTTAGGGAGACTTTTATAACTTCTTTTTTTTACTTTGGAGAAGTTGTTTGGGCTGCCTTTTATGAGACTCTTTTTGCTTTCCTGGCCTGCAGAGGCCGTTGCTCACTATCTTTTCCTGGAGTGGTTCCACAGTGGTTGGTTTCTTACCTGCCTGAAAATGTAAAACTAGTGCCTGACCCTGCTCCCCATCCTGACTATTTGTGTAACATATCAGTGTGTCCCCTCATATTGCAGATACAGTGATTGTCAGAAATATCATTACAAAACAGCGGCATTGAATTTGATTTTTATAATCCTTTCAATTATATCAATATATCAGCTTCCCTTCTAAAGAGGATTTGCACCTTGAAAATAATTATTCACATATACAGTTCCTACTTAGTAATATAGGACATGAGGTGGAGATGACAAATTTTTCCTAAATCTAAATACTTGCTTTTAAAAAAATTAAGGTTGTGTTTAAAATGTCAGCCTTTTTCTTTGTCTGTTAGATTTATCCTTTTTGGTTTGAGGTATTTGGCAAGAGTTTTTTGTACAAGTGACTGAAAATTTTACATTATTTTGAAGATTAATATATTTCCTTCCATCTATAGATGTGGTTTTTACTTTGAGGGAAAGCCTGAAACCCAACAAGAATTACATCTTTTACTGTCAGTCCTGTGGTGACATCGTAGTGAACGACCGGTGAGTACTGCAGTGTCTTGTATTTATAGCAATAAATGCCATTGTGATTGGTATTCATGTTATTTTGTGTACTCTGAGGCAGCTAAAAGGTATTTATTTTGAAACTGGTAGACAAGAACACATTTGAAGCTCTGCAGATGACAAAAAGCAAAATTACCTGAAGCAGTTTTTAGATGTTTATTCATTTGCTCCTTGATTTCTTTCTTTCTCTGTATTTCAGGTATCCTTTTCAGTTCTTTTCAGTCTCTTATACATTTCCTTTAGTCATCATCCTGTAATTATAAAGTGGCTGCTCAGAATGGGGATATTGACCACAGCTTCCTTTTATCTTTTAAGCAAAGCCTGCCTCCACATAATTCAGGGATGCTAAATTTGGGAAACAGGAACTGTGTCTTAGCTGTGTGACTCGTCCTTATCTCTGTTCCTTAAAAAGTCTGCAGAGTGAATGAGAATTTTAATAAAATGGTGCTGCATTGTCTAGCTCTTCTGATGAACAATATTGATGGCTTCAGCTGAATATATAAGAATTGTTAGAGATGTACTTACAGCCTTTTATGATCTGTGTGGCTCCTAGTACTCAAAACAGTAATACAAATAAGTCCCATTCTCTAAATTTGTTACTTTCTTGTCATAGGTATAGATTTATGGCTAGCTGAATGTAACTGAATGATGATTTCTTAACTTTCTCTTCTGAAATATCTCATCAGAAAGTCTAGTAATAACTCTTATTTTGATACATTTGTAAAGTAGTGAAACTTTGTATTCAGTAACATTTGCTTTCAAAACATGTTGCCCGTTTATATTTGCATCTCTGAGTGGGAATTTTCCTGAATTTCAGCACATCAAATTCATATCCATGTAGTTTAAATCTTTTGGTTCTGCATCCTGTAATGTGACACAAGCAGAATTTTTGAGAAAGGAAAAAGAATGCATGTTCATGCCTTTTTACTTGGCATTTCTCCTTGGAGGAAACCTCTGAATCCCTTGAATATTGCCACTAAAAAAACCTAAGACACGAGTAGAAAAGTGGAGCTGCCAGTGTATCCAACACATTCTGTTCCAGCATTTACAAAAGGAAGAGAGTAGCATAGTCAGAACTTCCAGCTACAAAATTCATGTGTTCCTCTCTCCAGGAAGAATTAAGTGTGACAGTGACAGCAAAGGTGGAAGGATTGAAAGGAAATTGCAGAACTGTGTGAAAGAGAGCATATTAAAGTCTGAATTACTAAGCAGGGGTCTGTAATAAGAAACACCTGAGATCTAGAAAATCATACCTTTAAGAAGAAATTTAAATAAATGGGGTAGTGTAGATAAGGCTGTGGAGAAGACATAAGATTGTTCCAATATTTAGGAAGTTGCTGCAAAGAGGGTGGCAGTAATCTTCAGTTGAAGCACGAGGAATCTAGGTGAAAATGAAAGAAAAAAAAAAGATCAACAAACCACCCCAAACCTATTCTAAAGCTTATTTTTTTGCTGTTAGAGACTGCATAGGAAGTCTTCCTTTTAAAGGTTAAATTAAGAAATGTACTAGGAAAGGGTTAAATGTAAATAATCCTTCCTTGGTGCACAAAAATTTACTCAATACATTTTCTGAAATCCTCTGCCTCAGTCTGTTTCCTTCCATAAATCTGATAGCTCTTCAGAGAGTTATGCTCTTTCATTCTTTTCAATTGCCCTCACATTACATACATTAGAGAAAATGATTAGATTTTTTTTTCTTCCATCATGCAAGAGCTGCAAAGAATTAGGGATACTTTCTTTTTTCTTTCTCTCCTTCCAGTTGGGCTAAGTGTACCTCATATATATAATAAGTCTTTAAGACTTTATTTCTGTCATGAAGAAATTCTTAAAGGCTTGTGGTGTGTGGATGCCAGGTGCCCACCAAAGGTGCTCTATCACTCCCCTCGTCAGCTGGACAGGAGAGACTGAATTTAACAAATAATAATTGGTACTGCACAAATATTCCATGGAAAAACTCATGGCAGAGGAAATCTAATTACACTTTTTCTACATAAGTAGTGTTAAGCCTGACAGTTAACTGACAAGCTGGGCTGTCCCAAGATTTTTTAATAGGTAAATAATGGAAACTGCAGTTAAAGAAATGCAGTTGTTTTTCTTTTTCTCTGATAGAACTGAACAGTTATTATATGTTTAAAAGTCTAAAGTCCATTTTACTTCCAGTTTTCAGTATTTTCAGTAGACAGAATGGTATTACTGGGTATTAGTTAATAATGACATTTGGGTTTACTTTTCTTCATCCAGTCTTACAGGGGTCTCTATGGTCAAATACTTACCTTAGACTGGAAGATCATTTAAGAGTTATATCCTTACAGCAGGGCTTTTATAGACTAGTGCTCAACTTCAAACTTTTTAAAAATAAGTTAATCACCTACTTTTCTGGTTGGAATCTGGGAACTATTTACAGCAGGAGATTCAGCCTGGCTAGATTAGACACTTTCAGGAGAAAGCTACTCCTAAAGGTACCAATCTAAGCGTTGTTTGTTACTCTCTGACTGTGAATGCAGCCTCGGTGGCTATTTTCAAGTACAAACTCAGTTGTTATTAGGAGCAAGTTTGGAAAGATAAATCACCCTGTTTTCTAGGATTTATCATGTTATTTAGTAGCCTCAAGTTGTTTTGTTTGTTTGTTTTTTTAGGAAGGCTCTGTTTTTATGAGTTTTACATTTTTCCAGTTCTGGTAACCCAGGATATGGCTTCCCACCCATGAGTGGCAAAAGCCCAAAATACAGTGGAAATGGTTTATTTTCTGTATAGCTCAGAGTTAGGAGGAGTTTGTTTAGGAAATTCCTACTGGTTGGAAAAACTGCTTTTGTTGGAAAAGAAGTGAAAATCTTTATGCTGTAGACTGTGAGAGTAAAGAAACATTGATTTAATGAAACAGGACAGCATGAGTCTGCAGCTTATGGTAATGTCTTTTTTTTTTTCCCTTGTAAGAACATTGCTGAGCTTTTTGTTACTATTGTGTAAAAAGCAATACAGGAAGACTTTTTTGTAGTGTGAGTCCAGGCACTGGAACTAATTGTAAAGAATCAATTAGACCAACATCAGAACTAAACTGTCACTTTGGCAGGATTGAGTAGTATCTCAAACAATATATAAGACCACAGAAAATGAAGACAAACATGGGCAATGCTGAGAGGTGATCTTAGTTTTGGTAAAGCTGCATCAGAGGATCAGTTATTCCAACTTTCATCTGCAGGTGGAGCAAGCAGAGTTTAAAATGTATTGTGTATCTAGATAAAAGGGATTTTTTTTAGTGAAACATTTTTCTTTCACCCACGGAACAATTTAAAAGGGCCAAGAAGCTACAGTGGGAAGAAATGACATCTTCAGAAAATGTTAGTCTGGGAACTGCAGGAGAGGGAGGATGTCTAACTGTTGGCTTAGCAGCTGTGTTTTTATTTGCAAAGTAGCACCATAAGCAAAGTTGTATTTGCAAGTTTTAAGTAAGGAGTAGAATCAAGAAACTCTGGTGAAGATTTCAGGCGACAGCTGAAGAAATAGGGTAACAATTCAAGGAAACTAGGCAGAGAGCAGAAAATGCAAATCCAATACAATTGATAATGAAAACAAAGTATTTTTCCAGAAACAGTATCCTTGGTCCATACAGCTACCCAGGAGGAAGGGATTTGCCTTTTTTGTATGTGACTTCTGAAAGTCAGATCCGAGTATCTGAATCTAAATTAAGATTGAATTATCCTTTGCTTGTTGTTTTGTTTGTTTGGGTTTTTTTATTGAAGATGCACTGTGGTATTTTTTTCAGGTATTAGCTTTTTCAAGTCTTGTATCTGAGACAACATGCTGAATCTTGCTGTGGCATGGGTCTGTTTCTATTGGTTTTATAGCAACATTTGATGCAAGGGAACAGTACTAGAAGTAATAATACATGTAGTTGCAAATGCTCATTGTCATATTTTTCATGACTGGGTAGAACTGTTTTATTTTTGCCATGTGATTCATTTCAAGAGAGGACTGTGTTAAATTCTGCCTTAAAATCATTGAAGATTCACCCTTGGGAAATGCTTCATCACAGATTTGGCAGGAAAATCAGCAATTGCTTTCCCAGAATATACCCAAAGAAAGTGCCTTTGGCTGGAAAGAGAGTCAAGCACTTCCTTTTGAGAAAATGCCATACTTCCCCCACTATTTGTAGGAAGCCTAAACTCTCTTTAAGTGACTTAGAAGTGAATTGTAACATAACTGAAGTATTTGTCTTCTCTTCCCTCTAAGGAAATTTCTCAGAGTTCTTCCTCTACCGAGTGAAAACTGGAGTGATTTAGTTGAAGAGTGGTGTTGTCACCCCGACCCCTTTGCCAGAAGAACTTTGCACCCTCAGCATGGTGACTGTTTTGTTGGAGACACTTTTCTTCTGTTGAATTCAAGAAATGAATCACATGTACCTGAATCTCCCGTGTGCTGCTCAGAGGCTGGACACCATGTTTCACAGAGTGACTCCAACTTGGTAAAGTATTTTCTTTAAATGGTTCTTAGGTGAAGTTTTTTGGACTTTTTCATTGTAAAGTACTTTTTTTAAACTGGTTTATTTAATTTGTATGTATTACAGAACTGGTCTGAAGGTCATAGGAAGTTCTTGATACTCAACTCTACAGAAGCCAGAAAATATTCCAGGCTATGTTTTACATTTTCTAAAGCTCACACCACAGTCTTGATACTGACCTCAGTATGCGAGTAGAATTTAGTACTAGAAACAGAAGCTGCTTAATTATGTAGTTCTAAACCCAGATATTTTCCCCCAAAATTATCATGAGTGAAGGACATCAGAATTCAGTAAATTAATAACTGTGATGGGTCAGGTGTTTGTTAAAGGGTAGTGGAGCAGAGAATGAGGTGGAAATTGAAGTAGCAATTGTTTTTTTCTTACATGGTGACTTGAGGCATAATCATGATTATGATTAAAGAGAAGTGGGATTTTTTTATCTTTTTTTTTTTTTTAGTTTTAGAAAGACTTGAAAATATCAGAATGCGTGCTTTGCGTTTAGATGTGGCTGGCTTAGGTTCTTAAAGCATAGTAAGGAAATTGAGTTTGCTTGACTGCTCTGTCTAGTGAAAGGAACCTGCCATCCTATATTATAGCTCTTCATGTTGACATTTGTGAGGTGTTCCAGGGTAGGATAGATTCATCAACCAAGTCTGTACGAAGAAGGCTGTCATTTGGCTTAGAAACATCAAAATTTGATGTTGCCCATCACCATTTGTTGGTGCTTATGTTTCAGTGGTGGGATAAAACCCATGAAGAAAGACAGTTCAGTGCTTTACTTTTGGACATCTAGCACTTGTATGAAAATTCAAGCAATGATCTTTTCTTCTGCCAGAAGAACATCCATTCAAGCAATGATCTTTTCTTCTGCCATGGAAGAACATCTGCCAGAACATTTGTACTGCAAATGCAAACAAGCAGTAGATTACCCTGTACAACAAGGGTTGGGCCTACACATGCTGTATTTTCTCACAATTCAAAGTATTAAACTGTGTACATTGCTGCCTTGGCGATTTGTGCCTGTAAAAATTGATGGCTTATTCTGTAGAGATTTCCAGCATGAAACATTTTATCTCTTGAGAAGCAGACTGCCTGATTTCTACCTGCTGCTTATAGTGATATGTATTATCTCCAGGAAGAATCACCAGGATTCTCACAGTTCAGTGGCTGTTGGTGCGGTGCTCCAAGCAACCCCTCTGTGTGGGGAGCAGTTCTGTCCTGTGGTCCCCATCTGCAAGGCTTGCAGCTTGGTCCCTTTGGTTTCTTGTTCCATTGTTCTTTGAAAAACAGAATATGCAGAGAGGAAAATAAGGACTGATATGCTGGAAAGGTATCAGCATGGCAGAAGCAGATTTATTTGGCTTAACTCTGTGACAGTGGATTTATTTCTTCTAAGTTTCCTTAAGAAGGAGGTGGAGTAGATGATACCAAATTCTCAAGAGGACAATGCTTTCTGCCAGTGGTTGCCAAAATGAATTCTCACATTTCAGTAGTCTTAAAAGAGATCTTAGAACACTAGGAATAAATATGGGAAGAGGCAGGGCTCATGGAGTTCATATTGCACACTTCTTGATCAAAGAGAATGTGCGTAAAGGATTGATTTGGAAGCAGAAATGTAATAAAAGGATGTGGAACAAAGATTTTATTGAGATGTTGGTTGAACCAGGATAACAACAGAACTTTTGAATGAGGGAGGAGGCTGTTTTATGTCGGGGCATACAATAGTAGTTCAGTGTGATGAATTTTCATGTTTGCTTCTTTATACTTGCATCGAAGTTGAGAATTTGTTCTTTGTTTGTATCCAATCCCTTTTTCTACATCTTTCACACTTGCAATGAGTTCTCATTTCTGTGTTTGCTTATTTCCAGCATCACTCAGTTGCCAAGCAAATGAGCACAACTGTTAGATCCAGCAGAAGCTAGACTAATAAGGGAAAAAACCCTCATACTGAAGCAAAAATTTCTTCCATAATATGAGTAATAGAAAGTTACAGGCAAGACAGATTGCTATTGGCATAAATGTTCTCATTTTAGAGAATAGTGTTGCAGTCTGCCCCAGTATGAAAGTTCCTTTTTAATTGCATTGCAGTTCTTTGGAAAGTGTTTGCCTATGACCAAAATAGTAGCAGGAATGTACCAGAGATGCTTAAACAATCTTTTCCAGACTCCAGTGGGACCAAGACAGCATCCGTCCATTGCAAACATATTTTTCACATCTATTAGTCTTCCAGTGTAACATAGTTCTTAAATGTCACATGGTTTTGCAGCATCTTAATAGTATCTCTTGGGGAAAATATTTTTCCTGACACCATATCAGTGATCCTTTGGAATAGGAACAGAAACTATTAGGCTTGTGATCCACCTGCATCTGCAGATTGCCAGCAGCTGCAAGTTGTCAAACAGATAAATTGTTTTAATTAGTTGAGCTAAAACTATCCTTTTTTCCATTGAAGCATGATACAAGGAGTTAGTGATGTTTTTAGGCACAGTTCTCAGTCAGCGCCTGTAACTATAGTCAGAAAAAAATACTCAAGTTGTAGCTTTCAAGGAAGTAGTGTGTATTCTGCACTTGTCCTGTGCAGTATTTGTACCAGTCTGAAACACTGGCTTACACAAAACCTTGTCTGTTTATCCTTGCTTTTCACACTGAGCAAGTAATTTCACTGCATATGTTTGAGAGGACTAGCAAGGTAGGAACTGGGAAAGGAGATAACTCCTCCTGCATATATATGAATCAGATTATATTCCTGATCTCCATAACAAGGGGACTGTATTTCCAACACAGTCAGCTCTCAGGCTCTTAGTTCGATTCTCTGTTTTTTACCATCATTAAGGTTATATATAAGTGTACTGCTTTCAGATCAGAGCTCTAGTTGCTACACCAGGTTAATAAGCCCACACAGAATCAGTTCTGAAGTTTAGACTTTGGGTTAAAGTAAGAATTGTGCTTGCTTGTTGGATGTATTGAATTTAAATATTAACACTGTAATTAGTAGGAGTCTAGTAGGGTAGATTTCATCTAGATGTGAGATCTTTTTCAAAGGGCGGTAATAGATGCATAAAGCTAAGGCAAATATTCAGTGATGTTCTGGAGAGTGTAGAGACTCCTTGAACTAGATATTTTTATCTGCATTTTTTGTTTTTAATAGACCCTTGATGACATTGCTTCCTCTGAACTTATGAAGGCTTTTTGAACTTGTTAATACTTTTAATATAAAAAATGCTTTCCTATCGTGAGTACTAAACTGTATTATGCATCGTGTTACAAATGCCTTCCTGTTTTTTGATACAAACAGGGCTGGAATTTCATAGCATGAGCTGTGAGGGCATATGTTTGGTTTTTTTTCTGTTCAGCTTTTCCTAAACATTTGTGATTTTAGGTATCTCAATGATACCCCTCAGTTTTCTGTCTTCCATATGTTCTCCTGTTACATGTATTTTCATGCTACATATGGAAACTGTTTTGCACTTCTGACAGTTACTCTTTGTCAATACCTTTTCTTTATTTGTTTGAATAGAGGGAGAAGGGCTGTTCAAGAACAGAATCCACTGCACCTTTCTGGCATATCATGCTGTGTTGTGTATTTCTGCTGTTTCCTAGTAACTCAAAATAATCTGCAGACATTTTCTGCTCTCTGCTGAACGTTGAACTGGTATTCAACTCCTGTAAAACTGTCCACAGTGAACTGTTACTAGAACTTGTTACTGAGTAATGGTAGTCACATTGCAGCATACTATTTTATGTATGTATTAGGGAGTACTTAATTTCTGATGCATTATTTTGCCCTTAGCACAATCAAATTTAGCTTACTGTTTTATCATCCAGTCACTCAATATTACAAGATTCTCCTGTTAGCCATTACAGATTGTGTTGTGTGGATATATTGCCAGATTTTAACATTAGTATGAAACATGCAAGCAAGTCCAAGTGTAGAAAGCTGAAGTAGTTAAGGCAAATATGTGTGCATGTAAACATAAAGAGGACAGAAACAAGTAAAAAGTGTCCTGTCTGCTCTGTAAATTATGCTAAGCTATGCATTCCATTTTCAGAATATCTGAGTGACATTTAATGATTTTTTTTTTTTTGTCCCACAGAAGTCAAAAGAAAATACCAGAGTAATTTGTAAGCGCTGCAAGACAATGCTGGGAGAAACAGTTTCATCAGGTATGAGATGTCCAAACACAACTAGATATAACTGCATCAGCCATTGGACACTGGAGGTTAAAAACACTGAAGGAAAATAGTTTATCAATAAGGTGCAGTGTTAATTCCTGTGTGTTTGTCTCATTCCCTTCTGGAACAGATGAAGTTGTTGTTGCTTCCTGTGTTAGACCTTGAAAATTACTTTCAGCAGGAATTTTGATTATCCTTGTTTCTGTGGCATATTTGGCTAATTCCAAACCTTTGGAAGGCACAATGCGTGATTCCAGTTTACTAGGAATCCCAGTTAAAGTGGATATTTGAGAAATTACAGGTTGCTTGTCTTCCTGTCAGTTCTACAGAATAAGTGAAAGGTAAATTCAGAACTTGATCAACACATCTAGAAGCTGAAGATTGCTAACAGTCAGCCTGGTTTTGTGGGGAGGAAGCCTATTCAAAGAAACAGGTTATGCCTCATCTGATGATGAGCTGATGGGATTATTGGTTTAAAAGCTGTAATTATATTGGATCAGCAGGGTTTACCTGAAGTGTTGTAAAGAAGAGTGTCTGGTTGTTTTTAAAATTCAGCTGTTCTTGGAAGAGAAGCAATGATAAGACTGTTATTAGCAGGATTCATTCTTTCATCCTCCCTCTCTTCCACTGCATCAGTCAGAGTGAGCCTGCCTCAGTTCAGAGATCTGGTGAATATAAAAACATCTCAGAAAATGCAAAGCCTGTTTAAGAAATGCCATAAGGTGAGACAGGACAGAAGATCTTCTGTGTCTTCTGTTACAGAATGTTCTGATTGTCCTGTACAGGGATCTGAACAATACAGGCTTTAATGAAACCAAATTTAAGGTACAATGTTTGAAAGCCCTCAAAGCAAGATGTGACTTTGGGAAAGGAGTGCTGGGAAAAGAGCATGAATAACAAGGTCATGAGTAATAGATCAGTGGGAGTGGGGAAAGGCAAACGCTGTCAATGTGCAGGGATTTGGTATGGACTCTGCACATGGCTGAAGTTAGATAGGATTTCCATTGTTTTGGCCATGTTTCTTCAGTAGTGCTGGAGATTTTGGTAGAGTTCAGAGAACAAAAAAGTATAATGTAAGTCTAGGCAGAACCATCTCTGTGAAAAGAGACTAGAGAACAAACTTAGACTGGCATGCTTTGGTGCTTCCTCATGAGTAGGTATCAGTGTTTTGAAGATAAAGCACGATTAGAGCGCTGTAGCTGTGGAGACCAGGTTCAGCCTTGAGATTCCCCAATGGGCTATTCCTTCCCCCAACTCTATCCACATTTACTTGTATGATTTTTTCTTGGGAAATCACAGCTTCTATCCCTCTGCAAGCAAACATCTGAATTCCCAATACCCTTGTAGCAGTAGCACTAATTCATTACTCAGGGTAATGGCTGAGGAACTAGAGAGATTGAACTGTCTTTTCTTCCATTCTCCAAGAACTCATATAATATGGAGCGGACTTAATTAAATTTAGAGGTAAAATATAACTTCCTAACACTGAAGATAATTTAGAAAGTGTAGTATTTACCTGGAGAGGGGGTTACCAAGCCTTTGGAGAGTTTAAAACAGATTAAGTGTCCTTCTGAAATGTTTGCTTTCATCCAGTTTTAATGGTATGTGTGGACAGAGATCAGATGAAACCCTTCCATCCTTAAAACTTGTGGACCAAATTAATCTTCCAGTTGTTCACACCTTGAGACTTAGTAGAATGAATTTATGACTCTTAACCTGTTTTGCTGGCCCTCTGGTTAGGCTGTATTTGCAGCACAGATCATCAATATGATCATCTTTGACCTGCCTTCATTGATGGGGATTAAATTATGTCCTCAAATACTTCCATTTAGTGTGAAAAGCTGTCTTAGTGGAGCTTTTGGTGAACAGTTACATTGAAATTCAGAATGTATGCAGTGTTAACGTTGAGTGAGTGTGATTTTCGGAAAGAAGTTCCATTCTGCTCTTTGAGCAAAGAAGGAAATTATTCCCCCGTGTGAGCTGTTATTAAAACTGTCTCTAGTGATTCACTGCAGCATTACTAAGCAGCAGAGGGTACTAAAATACTTATGTAAGCTATGCTGATCTCAGTGCTTTAGGAAAGTTCTTTCAATTCATCTTTCGGGTTTGGCTTGAGCTCTTACTTGCTTGGTTTTAAGATGATTGTTCCCAGCATTAAACAAAGATCAATATGAATGAGAAATTGCTGGTCTTGTAATTAGCTTGGAGCAGTTTTCTTCAGGCAGTGTAGATTTTTTTTGTTATGGTTGCTTCTACTCCTACAAACCCAAGCAAAATATGATTGTCTGCTGCACCTCTTAATTGACTACTGAACAAATATTTGATTAGTGTAGTGATATGGTGACTTACAGTCTAATCTTACTAAGTTGGTTATTCTATTATAGTTGAAAAATATTTTTTTCATTTTAGGTACCGTTAAATATTATGTCACTGAGGTGGTTATTCAATCAGCTGAGGAAGGTTTCAGTCCAACACCAAGGTAACAAAATAATCACATATGTTTTAGAAGGGATTCTAGAAATGCTCTAATATTGTAGTTTCTTGAATAATTGCATATAATAACAGAGTGCAATTTTATATAATCATCACAGATTTAAGCATTGTAAAGGCAAAGTAGCCTGAATTCACTCGTGTGCAGTTTTGTTTGCTCATCTTTGTGTGTGATGCAGGAGATTGTGTGTAATTTGTCACAGTGTCTCACTATTGAGGTGCTAAGCCAAAATAAAATACTTTTTTATTTTGAACTCTTTAAGTTTGCACAATGCCTGGTTACTAATTATGGAAACAGAGGTCTATTTCATGTAAAGTTAAATTAAGTAAAGTTTGAAATGTTTAATTTGAAGTGAGACTTTTGAATTTTCAAGTAATTCAGTTTGAATTTAAGACTAAGATGAAACAGAACTTGATCTAGCTACCTGGTATCATGTACAATGGTTTAATCACAGTTCTTTCTTTTTGGGAATTGTATTTGCAACATGCATAATTCTGAACTTTGTGTTCATATGTGTAAAATATAATGGGGAAAAGCTTCTATTCAACCTTTGACAGTTGGTGTCAGCCAAAATAAAGGATGTAAAGCAATTTAGAATCCTGATCTATTAAAAAAATTCCTGTTGTAGGAAATAAAAAGTTCTCTGGTGTTGAGTGAGAGGAAGATAAAGAAGCCCCATCTTTCAATAAAATGTGATTGTAGGATGTAGTGGAATTGAAGTATGAGTTACTCATTTACCTGTAGTGCATAGATATGAATGACTGTAGTTGCTATGAAAACAGATAATAATGTGGTTAATTCTTAAACAGGTCTCAGTTTGTACAGAGCATTGTTGCTCAGTGTCTTTTGGAATTATCCTCTGCTAAAAGCACATTTAGATTCACCATAAAAGGAGATAATGGAAAAACCTATATTCTGGTAAGTTTTTAAATCTTCATCTTGGTGAAGAAGATTAACCCATGTATCCCAGTTCCTAAAATGTATTATTTATGGTGTTCATTATTGTAGGTTTAAAAAAATTAACAAATTCCAGTTCTTGAAGTGGTTCTGAGGTACATCTGTTCAAGTAAGAATATCCACAAGTTTTTACTCTAATTAGATGTGCACATAGAAATTTTATTAATACAGTAATGAAAGTACTAAAGATGCACCATAAGTAACACAGAAAAAACCACTATTTTGTATCCAGAAAATATGGAAAGCTTAAGTTTTAATTTTTTAATCTATATTTCACCTTCTTGCTCCAGCACTTCTTCTCTTTAATCACCAGAAGTGAATCAAATTGTATAGCATCTTTCTCAAGCACTGTCTCAAGTCAGCAGGGACTATTAGTGTAGTCAGTACATTGCACTGCGAAGTGAAGTGAAAACAAAAACAAAATTGCCTTTTATTCCAAATGTTCTAATGCTGTTAAACTTGGTTAAGCTTGATATTTAGATGGTGACAGCTAGATTCCTCAAACTTTTAAGATGGATAAGAGTTAACTTAATACTGTATACTTCTTATAACCAGAGATGTTTCCTTCTATGTCCAAACTAAATATGGGTATAGAATTTGTATTTTTGCAGTTTATAGAAATAATTCATAGACACAAAGAAATACATGATTAGAGATTCGTGCCCTGGATAAACTTATAAATGCACTTTCTTGAGGCAATGTAATTATATAAACTGTTGTACATATGCATTGTCCAAGTTCTATGATTTTGGATCATCCAGATGCTGAGGGAAGTGTATATCTGTTGCCTTTAAATAAATTTTAATGCCAAGACAACATTTTGTACAACTACTGAGAAATATCTGTTCTGTGATGATAAAATGAAGGTTTCATAAGCATACCTAAAATTATATATATTCTAATTGAGGAGTCATCAAAAATTATTGTGATTTTTCCCTTGTAGCTTATCTGTTCCCAAGTTATGTAAAATTCTGGTGCTTAAGTCTAGTCGTTTAGATACAGCAGACTGATTATTTTTTAACAGAAAAATCACTTTATTTAGTAGATTGCCGTTTCTTTTAACTCTGAGCTGCATTTTTGCCAATGTTTTGATTAGAGGAGTAGGCTGAATTAGATAGGGACTGGCTTCTGATTGGCATCTTTTCCTTTATATTGGTGAGTTGTTAGTTTTTTGCAGGTGTTTTTAGTATTTAACATCAGAAAGTCCTTACTCCTGTCCAGGATGAGGTTCTCACTACTGTGTACACACCAACAGCTGTTCTGGAGTCATGGGTTAAGTCTTAGGACTCGGAGGCCTTGTGGACACAAGTTTAATGTAAGCTCTGTTTATATTAATGATTGTCAATAGCTCAACAGTAAAACGTGGGTGCTTGAGGCTGTGAGCACACAGCCAAGTTACACAAGTAGTCTCATCATTGATGCATCATGAACCAGCTGTCCCACTTGTTTGTTCTGATAATGAGCCAAAGCTTGTGCTTACCTACATGAATACACACAGCTGAAACTGTGTATGTGATAATTAAGGTTAAGGTTTCTCACAAGTATTTTTAATTTTTTTAAACCACAAATAATATGTATACTAATTTTCCTCATTTCCTCTGGATGTATCACTTAACACTATCAATTCTGTTATTTGCACATACCATAATATGGGTTTCCATTTTTTAAGTTACACATATTCTGTTGTTTATGCTATACACTACTTAGGATGTTGGGTTTTCTTTTTTTCATTTTTAAAGGATGTCAATTTAAAAAAGTTTCTTTGTTTCAGGGAAAAAAGTGGTACATACAGGTATCCTTATTTGTTCTAACTATATCTCTGCCCTCTTCACATTTGTGAATCACTTGCCTCCTCTCTTTGTTCCAGTGTTGAAGGGTTCCCTGCCTTGTAGTTGCATGATTTAGAAGCTGAGAATAAGAGGAAGACAGCAAACAGATAGTGAGATAGGAGGACACAAGAAAAATGGGACATTATTGGTCAGCATAGCAGCATCTCAATAGGTACCTATTTTGTCTCTACTGCAAAAAGTGTAGCTTTGAAAGCAGTAAATAAGTAATTTTATGGATAGATACAGGGAATTCATCTCATGGATGGGATCAACCTCATAAGACCCAAAAAGATTACATCTGTGAAAATCAAAAAGTGTGCAGTGGTGGTTTGGACTTTTTGAACACTATCTCCAGTCTTTCAGTATTGAAGGAAAGGTGTTTTTTGGAGTGGGATTAGACTGTAAAGTGTTTTGAAAATAAGGCAGCTTGTATTTCAGGAGTGAGCTGAGAGGAGTGGGAAGAAATCCCAAGAAAATTAGTCTGTAACAAAATGGGAGAGACCTGTCAGTCTGATTATTGTCCCTGTCTTGAAGGGCATGAGCAGAACCAATTTGTATTTGTTAAGATTGGAGGTGAGGTGGACATTGCAGTGGTCAAGCAGTGAGATAATGAGAACCTTGCTGAGACTTAGCTGCCCAGCTCTCTCAGGGAGCTTTATTCTTTGTGAAATACGAGGAAATGACATCTTTACCTGAGCACTCTGAGTGTGAGAATGAAATAGCTGTAATGAAAGATGTTTGCATTAGTGACCTGGGTGATGATGAAAGTAATGGTAATGTCTGCAATAACTAGGAAAGAACTAGCAAGGAAAAAGAAAAAGATTTAGCAGGTTTTTTACCCATGTTAAATTCAAATTGATGCCTAATTGTCCACAATTTGATGCTGGAAACTCAGACTGAGATATAGGGAAACTGATCACAGAATCTAAATCGTGGTATTTCAGCTGTTTGGTTCAAGTCCCTTGAAGTATAACTGGGGTAGCTTTGTTGCCACTTGTCCCCAAAGAAAATCTTTTTAAGTCTCTTGACAAAGTGATTTGAAACCAAAAGAAAACAATGAAAGGAAGATCAACAACCCCGCCCCCTCAATACTTTTTTCTGATTCTGTCATTTCAGAAAAGGTAATCAATGGCATTGTGAATTAATTCTACACTTTATGTATATATATCTTCTGCAAAGTTTCTTTTCTTACTGGAGTTAATATGGAAGGAATTTGTTTGTGCCAGCTCTGCTGTACAAAGAAGTAGAAAGAAAGGAGAGATTGCACATTGTGAATAACATAGTTGAAAGCACAGCTCAAAATATGAAACTGTTAGCCAGAAATACATGTATACAATTCTTAGTCAACACACTGAGTCTGGGTGAGCAATTGTTCACTCAGATTGAAAACAAGATCAAAAAATAATTCATACATAAGGAAAGGAATGAAAATGCTGCCTAAAGAAGTAAGTATAGTTCAGAAGTTGATTTTGCTCATGGCTGGGAATCCTTCCACCCCCAGAGATTCATTTACTTTCTCTATATTGTGTGCTAAATTATTAATTCAGATCTGTTGTGTTGCTGGTGAGACAAGGATATTCATACAAGTTCTAGAACATGATTGTGAGATGCCACATGTGGTACTTGTGTAGAAAGAGGTGCATTTCCAATGGACTGTGTTGCAAATGAAATGCTTTGGTTGCTTTCTCTGCAGCATATTGCAGAAGGATTCTGAAAGGAGCAGACAGCTGTTGCTACATTGTTCCCTTGTCTAGTTTGAAGGATATTCTCCTGCTGAAAAGCATCCCAGGAAGCTCCTTCCACACAGAATTGTTAGAAATTTCAAAAGGAAGAAACTCTGTTCAGTTTGTGTTGGCAGTGGCATGTGTTTCTGTGTTTCATTTTCTTCTCTTCAGCACTTGGCTATAAGCACCTTGTGTAATGGTCCTAGCTAATGAGGTATATTTTGCAGTTTAGGCTGTAAATGTGTACAGTGAGTTACTAGAGCAAAACTGATGAACAACCTCTTGCAAAGCCAAATGTGCTTGCTTGTCATCATTCATGTGCATATGCTGAAGTGATTCTCCTCCTACTATCCCCTTCCAAGATATCTTTGTCAATATATCTCCTTCCTTCTTTATGAAGCTTCCACTGTAATGTTCTGAGCCTTGGGCTCTGATAAATTGTGACTGTCACATTCAATTACAACATATACTATGTGTCCTGTTAATGACTGCTTTCTCCCTCCACAGGGGATATCATGTGTCTGCTGCATAACATCATGTAACTTGTTTTACTTGAAGCCGATTAGATCATGAGAAACAGAAGATTGCTCTCTAGTGAGCAACACTGTATAAATCCCATTTTCTATGATAAATATTTCATATATAAACATTTCATACAGGTGCCAGATTTGTAAAAATTTATTTCTATTGTTAACTTGGATCACTTCACTACTGCAGGCTGTGAATTAAGGAAAAGTTTGACTTATTTGTATGGTGTTTAGCAGGAAAGCCCTGGATCCAAGTCAGAACGCTGATACCAAATCACACAAAGATTAAATAAGATCCATAATGGGATGCAAAAAGTTCAGATTTCTCAAAACTCTTCCCAGTAAATATTTCTCAAATTGCTGTGAGCAAATAGGGCTGAAGAATGCTAGTCCCATTATGAAATTTGATATTTATTTTCCAAGTGAAGGTCTGCTGCAGCTGTTTGTAAATTCCAACATGCCTTTTAGACCATGTTAATTGTTGTCTTTTTCCTTTCATGTATTAGGTCCATAGAGTCATAACCACCATGCCTCTTCTAAAAATCCTCAATTTTTGGCACTTCAGTGGGCAGTCTTTCAGTTTCCTGTCTTTAGCCCTCAGTTGCTCAGCACCATATGCTTGACTAATGCCTAAAAATTATGAAATTGGAGAAATAATACATCTGGTACTAAAAGAGATGACTTGGGATTATTGCTTTTGTTCCTACCAAAGGGAATGTGCTGCAGCCACAAAAAGAGGCAACTTCAATACTGATAAATCAGTATTGTGTTACCCTTTTTTCTCCACTAGAAGCTGTGCAGACTCTCTAAATAATAAAATATCAATTTATGTCTGTTAATGCTTTGTTAGAAACTTTGTAAGAATGTGGCTTTAGTATCAGCTGCTTTAGGGTCACAGTAAAGTAACAAATTGAAATGTATCTAATGTACAGTAAACAAAATTATTTTTCATTTATAGATCTGGCTTTTAAATTCTGACACTTTGCTGGTAGAGTCTTTAGGAAGTTCCTCCTCCCACAGTGGTTTTACACTGTTTGGAGATATCCTTACACCTAGCTCTGGACCAGTGGGATCCTGGAATGCTCTCAAAGTCCTTTACCAGCCATGCATTCAATGCAGAAATAAGGAGTAAGTACAACCTTTTTTAAACTCAGATTCTGGTATTCATTTTCTTTGCGTTAGTATTTCTTCCATGTTCTTTGGACAGTCTGTTAATCTCAGATATAAACCTCTTTGAATTTGCATATTTCTTATAATGTTTTTTAAGCAAAATGCCATAGGACTAGTATTTGGTTTCTATTACAGAGAACAACCAGATTGTTGTTAGATTTTTTGCATTTTAATATTAAAATATAGACCAAAGAGTTTTGTTGTTTCTAAGGGCACACGTTGGTAACTTAGGTATTAGCATTTAAATTTCATTTGCTTTCAGCCCAATGACGACGTTATTTCAAAAAGAAGCAGGGCCCTGAGAGAAGGGAAAAGAGAAGTGACAAAGGTAGTCAAGTACAGTGTCATAAAAATGTTTTTCTTTCATATGTCTGAGTGTACTGGAGCCCTCATAAAGGAAACATTTGATTTCAGCAATCTTTGAGTTCGACATTATGAAAAACATACGCTGCCTAACATGTTAGAGCCTTTATGTGTTGGAGAGCAAAGATAAGAGCATGCTGATTAAACAATGGCTCCAATGTTTGCAGGTGATGAAGTATGATTTAAGCATAATTTACTGCTTTTTTTGTGCAGTGACAGAAAAGAAAAAATTGATTTTGTATAAGTCACACTTAAATGAGGTTTATTGTTGTTTTTTCTTTAAACTTTGGAAACTAGGGGAAAGATTTAAATAAGTATGAATGAAGACATTCACTCCACACTCAGTCAATACACAAATAATTTATGCCCGAGACCTCATAAAAGTGCAACAGAAATTTTTTTCTCACAGAGACAAGCAAATGTGTCTATGAATTTAATATTTTTGTAGGAGAAACATACAACTTACAAGCATGTGTGACTCATTATAGTGTGTTTATCCTGCATGTTGCCAAGTGTATTCTTTTTATAATTCAAGCAGATGCAATAGTGAATAGCAGAAATGAACTGTGATGAATGGAGAGAATGCAAAATTTTAATATTTAGAGAAAAGGTCATTCTACATTGTTAATGTTAGTCATGTAAGAGAAAAAATACCTTTTTTGATGTAATAGCTTCAGAAGATGGCTTTGGAAAACCTTTATGATCTAAATGTTGTTTAGGGATCCAAAATATATCCTGAAGTATTATAATTTAAACTTATTCTGAGAATGGGAGATGTTTTGCAAGAATCTGTCTAAAATGAAAGATATTTCACTTACTACTCTTAAGTCTTACAGAAGTGTAACTTCCAGTTTGGCTTTTCAAGTTTCATTTCTTTATCACTGAGAAAGCTTAATTATCTTAACACACGTTCATCTACTCTGGCATATTATTGAGATAAAAGTCATCTACTTAGTCATTTTCCTGGCATTCACAAATGCTTTTCTTGAATGAAGTTCTCAGCAGCAGTATTTTAGTGTAAGATTATATTCAGTTCTTTCTATTTCCACGGACAGACTTGTTAGAAATCACCTTTTTGCAACTTTTTTTTCCCCACTCCACTACTTTGTATTTATCTTTGGGATTTTGCAGTGAGCATAAAGAACAACTGAGGTTTTAATTCTTCTCTGACAGTAATTGGTATTTTCTCTATCTAGTTCCTGGGCAAGTAAAATTATGGAAGAGAAAATGGGAAGATTTTTTTTTTTAAGCTTTTAAACTGTTGGTTTAGTATTGTTTTTCCATTTTTATATTTCTAGGAAAGCGCAGTAAAAAGGACATTAGTACTTCAACCTGTTTCCACTAACTCATTTATCAGCTGGCCTCAAGTACCACCTGAATCTGTGCAATCAGACTGAAATCTTTCTATACTGAGCAGGAATAAACACAGCATAAGCAAAAATATCAAAACCAGTATGACTTATTTAATGTGATGCATTCGCATTTAGAACTCAAGTGTCATGTTGTCATACATACATGATTTCTTGATTGGTGCAAGTTCCAAAATTTTCAGATGTCCACATTCTGATAAAAATTATAGCATTTAACCTTGCTGTCTTCTGCACATACACCTGCCTTTGGAATAATGGAAAGGTTTCAGAGCCCAGGACCTGCTTCCCATGAGAGAGGAATAAGCAAGGACACCTCCAGAATAGAAAGGGATCAACAGGAGGTCTGCATACAATCTAGACCCCAGCAGACCCCAGTAGTGATGTGTGCACTCTGGCATCCTGTTTTAGGTCAGAGGGCCTCTTCAGTTCCTGTGAGTCCCTGGGTACACTTGGGTTCTGTCCAATTCTGGCAGGGCCACAATCTGAGCTGTGTGATGTTTTCTTACTTGTGGACACTGCAGAGTCTGTGCTGGTTAGCTGGGCCATAGGTTAAAACAGATTAAGGTTACCTAGAAGTATTGTTTTTAATATCTAAAGATAGATATTGTTTTTACTATCTAAAGATAGTAGCACAATCACATATTTGTAAAACATGTGTAAAGAAATGAAACAAAATCTGTATTTAGTTTATGTACACAAGCAGAAATCTACTTATTGTGAGATAAATACACGGTTCCATTGTAGTAATTGACATCTTGGGCTTTGTGAAATTCTTCCTTGGTAAATGCTGCTGCTAAAGAGAGTCTGACTGATATTGCCTAATAATTGACATTCAGGAACCCTTTCCTGGGGATGCACTTGAATATTTTTCTTGAGGGGAATGTAGAAGCTTTTGAATGTGATCTTCATTTCAAGACTTCCAGGGTGTCAGAAGAAATTTATTGTCTCACTCGAAAACTCATTTTATCCCTCCTTTATTCAGAGCTCCGTTTTGCAATTCTTTGTAATTAACTTAATGCTTAATGCTCTTCCTTGGATACAGAAGTGTTTTTCCCCTTAAACTAGGAATTATGTCTTGTGAGCAACACTGCTTCAGTGAGCAACAGAACTCTCTTTCCTCCAGTAAATCACTGGCATATCTATCACTGTACCTTACATTCACTATTGCTCTAAATGTTAATAATGCAAAGGAAACAAACATTCAAGTAGGATAAATGGCCGTGGTTCATTACTGGCTGCTGACTGCTAATTACCCATTTGGAGTTATTGCTGTTTAGGGGTGGCTGATCCTGAAGCCTTTTCTAACAAAGCTGTGGTCTGAGTTCGGCTGAGATTTGCTGTGGAGTTAATTACCTGTTGTGTGGCATCAACAATATGCTAATTTCACGTCAAATTTGTTCATCTCTGTTGACCATCAGCTCCTTTCCAGGTGGATTGTAGTCTAATGAGCAGCTTTCCTCTTTTTTTTTTTTTTTTTTTTGTGCAGGGTTTGTGCCTTTATCAAATGACATCCTGATTTGTTCAGAATTTTTTTCCTTCTTGGTCGTGGCCATTTTTGTTCCCATCATGTGTCCTGCTGATGGCCCTTCCCAGCTCCATGTTGTCTTTAGAAGGAAGAATCATCTCTCTTCATCCAGTCTCAGGGAGAGCAACTGACATATGGGATAGGAACAAACTGTGAACATGTCATGTGGAGCCTCTCTCCAAATACCTTTATTTTGGCAAGGAATCTTAACAGCTGTGCTCTGGGTATTCTCTGTATATTAGACTGCTTTGCTTGAGGACATTCAGTAACTTTTAAGGCATTGTGAAGTTAAAATAGGGTTAAGATGTAGCCAGACATGCTTCTTATAGTAGTTCTTGTCATTTCTCCTTAGAGCTGTATTCCTCTATCTTCCTGAGGGTAGCCTTAAAGTGTTGTAGTGATTTGTATCTTACTCCTTCAGCAGTGAAACAGAGCTAGAAACACTGAGGTGTGTGTTATGTGTGATAACACAAGTTCTGGCTAAGTCGTCTGCAGTTAGGCTTTTAGCCCCTGGGGGAGCTTTATGAAAATTCTTCTACAGCAAATTAATAGAAACTGCATGAAAAAAGTACCTTATAAATGTGTTTGAGTTCCACTGGAGAAGGATACCTCATGTATTTTCTGCTCTGTCCTTTATAGATCATGTGCATGTGATTATGTTGGTTCCCTCCACTTTTCTCTCAACAGGGCTACTTTTCTCCACCTACAAATCTGCTGTGCAGACAGAAGAGGTCTTCCTTTCAAGTAGCAGGTTCTTGGCAAATAACACCTTATGTAAACAGCCCTAGCTGCTGGGAGTGATAATAGTAAATGCTGCTGAAGTGAGAGTGTTGTAAAAATGTATGAAGAAAATTGAAAATGTCGTTACATGGCAATTTGACCATAACTTGATCTCAGAAAATATATGTGTAGGTACAGTGGGAGGAAAATTGCACTTTTCCCTTTAGAGTAGAGTGCTAGGCAAAGCTTTGTCAAAAGGTCGTTGATAGATTTTTGTATCTCATATGCATCTCTGAATGGTTTACAGCTTTTGCAGAAACCTTTTCCTATATAAAAATTTGCTGCTTATAATTTGGGAGTTGAAAAATTACTTCCAGAAGTTTTTCATTTTATTAGCTTTAGAGGGACAAGAATAAGCTGGAAAATTGAGTTTATTGCTGAAAACCTGGAGGGTTTGAGTCCTAGTGCTTTTATTACAGTCCATATATTGTTAGCCGTTTATGAAGCTGTTATTGATGTATTCCAGAATGTTGTTTATTTCTCCCAAGAATGGCTTTCATTCTATATATGACCCTAGAGTAATTCACTTCTCATAAAAACATCAAACTGTGTCTTGTTTCACTGATTTTTGAATGTCTGAGATTTTCGTAGTTTTTTGGTGACTCTTGCCTGTAGAAAACACATGGGACCACATAGATCAATAATTGATTGACTGAGGAGTGACCAGTGTTTCTCTGGTTTGTGCTATCTGTGAGCTGATTTCTCTATCTGGAATCATTAAAAGAGTAGATGTGATTGTAAATAGAACATGAAAGGTCTGGTTTGCTTCAGATTTTTTTTTTTTTCCTGTTCCCTTCTTGAATTATTTAATGGTATCAAGTTAAGAGAACTGACACCGTAGGTGGAATGAGTTACCTTAGAAGAGATGGCTGAACAGTCAGGCAGAAATTTTTAAAAGATAGAGTCTGATGCCCAGTCAGGGTTTTGGGACAGGAAGGAAAAGAATACTTCTCAGAGTTTGATAGACATGTGGAAGCTATAAGCCTCATGAAATTTGAAGGCTTAGGCAGCAGACTGCTCTTCAGTGGCATCCTTCCTCACCTCTGGGAAAAAGCGTACGCAACTTTTAAGTATAACTTTCAGGAGAAATATCCTGACTTTCTTGTTTATTGAAACTACACCTGCCATGTGCAGCAGCCTTTTATGGTAGTTACTTAGGAACTTAGTTCTTGCTCTTAAACACTGACCTGATATATCTTTCCACTCTTTGGAGCTGTTGTATTTTTGGTATCTAATCTTGCTATTGAAAATTAGAAGTACTAATTGAAGTAGATAAAAGTGTTGGAATAAACTTTTTGTCTACTGAACAAATTCTCATATTTTTTCTCAAAAATTTGGCTCATTTTATCATTCCTGCTGAGTTTTTTACTTAGGTTGCTTTTTTTGTTCATCTTTTGGAATTTCACATTGAAGTCAGAGGAGGAAGGATTCCTACTGGTTTTTAAAATGGGATTTGTAATCCCAAATTGCTTATCCATTTGTTGATTATCTGACTGATAGCCTGCCTGTCTTCTTATGTATTGTGAAAAATGCTGTTGTATTAATACTTGTCTTGCTGGGTACTGCTTTTGTTCTCTGCATTAAAAGTGTTAAATACTATCTACAGAATAATTGGCAATGTAAAAATATGAAATTGACTGTAAGGGCGATTGCTTAACTACTTCTTATGGTCAAATTTTTTTAAAGAAAAGATAGATAAATATTTCTTTAAGATCTCTGATCACAAATATGCTTTTGAATCAGTATTTGTGATTCTGTAATGTGGTAAAACAAAAAATAAGTTTCAGGCTTTTACCTTCTTTCCATATTCTTCATATTTATTTGTGAAACACTGCAATTCAAGTAAGCACAATTTTGGTAGTTTTCATGTGTCTTTGACTCATCTTGCTGTAGTTCAGCTCTTTGAGGAATATTAGGATTGGTAATAAGAGAAATGTCAAGTTGGGTGGCAAAAAAATTGTAAATTAAAAGCAACAAGACTATCTGAAACCAGTTTAAAATGTGTTGTCAGAAACAACTGCATTGCCAGGTAGTTAATAACACTTATAGGATGATAGGAATGTAAGAAATGCTATGCTGGGTCAGAGCACTTTAGCATGTTCTGCTTAGTTCTTATTGTCCCTCCAACATCCAGAAATGTTCTTCAGAGTAGTGTGTGAGCACTTTCCTGTAGTGCTCAGCTCTGTGGTTGTATTAAAGATGTCAGAGGATACAGCCCTGCCTATTTCTTTTACTGTCTGTTCATTTGTCTTTTGGTCATTTGTTTGTATAAATACTTTTTGGCCTTGTGGTGCTGTCTGCCTCCACAATCAAGTGACAAGTTCCAGAAGTTCACTACTGATGTGTAGTACTCTTTTGACCTCCCATGAAATTACGTCCTGCTAGATTTTGGGTGGGGATTAGCAAACCACAATTCAGAATTCCCACCAGCTAAATGGACATGGGGATCCTAAACTACAGCATGTAGTGTTCTTGCTGATTACAGTTAGAGGCTAGACTTACTTGCTGGAAGGAAATCAATGTCACATCTACTCAAGTCTTACTGTATTTATGTATAGCTCTCATTTTGCTTTCCTTGTAACACTGCTTTTTTTAAAACCGGGTAGCCTAAATATGATAGTGCTGATCGATTGAGGGTAATTTTATAACCATACATCAAACATAGCAGATTTCCACTTGGATGCTTGCAGTTTGTTTCTCATAGACTTTTAAAGACTGTTGGGTTCGCTTGGGAACTGTAAGTACTCAACTCCTGTAATGCCTTTAAAATGACGGGATCTATTTGAGCAGTCAGGAATCAAATAATGAGGCAAGAGTGAAAAAGCAAATCTTACGAAAGCTTATTGGACAGATGGTTGACATTAACTACTTAAACTTCAAAACTTGATTTATTTATTGGATTTTAGTATCTTGACCTGTTTTAAATTAATTAGCATTTGTTGTTTCTATTGTATTTCTCCATGACAGGCTGTGTAAACTAACAATACTTTACGATTTAAGCTGCCACTTTTACTTGAAATATTTTTGAATTGGTAAGGCTAAAGCAAATTGGGAGAGTATGACTTGAGACCAAAGAAAAAAGGCTTATTTATAAAATTGGTCAGGATACTTCCATCTTTGTGTGTGCAGCAACAATAGGCTATTACTGCTGGTTGCCTCTTTTGAATACTGTGGCATCAAAACAGAACAAGTAATTCTTATGATGGCTCCTCTGCATACTGGCCTTAAGCTATAAATTAAATTATTTGTATAATTAATAAGCATAATAAGTGATACCTATCACAGAATCACAGAGTGGGTAAGGTTGGAAGTCACCACTGTGGGGCCATCTGGTCCAACTACCCTGCTCAAGCAGGGTCATCCTAGAGCATATGGCATAGAATTGAATCCAGATGGTTCTTGAATATATCCAGTGAGGGAGACTCCACAACCTCTCTGGGCAATATGTTCCAATACTCAGTCACCTGCACAGTAAAAAAAATTCTTCCTCATATGTGGGTGGAACTTGCTGTGCATCAGTTTCTACCCATTGCTTCTTACCCTATTGCTCAGCACCTCTGAGAAGGGCCTGGTTCCAACCTCTGACATCTCCCTTTAGATACTGATAGACATTGATGAGGTCCCCTCTCAGCTACCTCTTCTCCAGACTGAACAGGCCCAGCTCCCTCCGCCTTTCTTTATAAGAGAGATGCTCCAGTCACCTCATCAACTTTGTTGTCCTCCACTGGACCTGCTCTAGGAGCTCCTGTCTCTCTTGTAATAAGAGGCCCAGAACTGGACCCCAGCTGTGGCCTCACTAAAGCTGAGTAGAGGAGCAGGATCACCTCCCTTCACCTGTTGGCAATGCGCTTCCTAATGCACCCCAGGGTACCACTAGCCTTCTTGGCCACATGCTGGTTCATGGACAGCTTGTTCCACTAGGACCCCCAGGTCCATCTCCCAGCAAGTCAGTGTCCAGCCTGTAGTAGAGCCCCAGGGCACTCTTCCCCAGGTGCAGGAAGAGTAACCCCTGGCAAGTACCTGAGGTACTTGCCTTTGTTGAATTTCAGAAGGTTCCTCTCTGCCCCTCTCTCCACTCTGTCAAGGCCCTTCTGAAGGGCTGCAGAGCCCTCTGGGGTATCAGCCACTCCTCCAGCTTTGTGTCATCAGTGAACTTGGAGAGGAGGCCTCTGCCCCTCCATCTAAGACATGGAGGCATAGGTTAAGCAACACTGGGAGACCACCACTGAACCTTGGGGGACATCACTAGTCCAGGCCTCCAACTAGACCCTGTGCCACAGATCAGGACCTTCTGGATCTGTCCTTCATTCAGTTCTCAATCCACTTCACCATCTGTGGGCATGAATGTTTGAGGAAGATGTGGAGGAGATCTGACTGGAAAGCTGGGAAGGGTTGTTTCAGGGAATAAAATTGTGTGGAATTTTAGAGCTTCAGACAAGTAATTTCCAAAAGACTGGACTATTAAATCTACTCAGAGTGAGATGTTGGATTGACCATGTCTGTTTTCCCACTGTGTGTGGCCATGAGAGTAACAGCTCAGTAGCTGTTCTTGCAGGGAGGTGAGTATTTTCTCTTTATATGTCTAGTTTAGCTTCTACCTCTGCCAGAAGACTTTAAAATGCACCTTCAACTTGACTCTTTTGCTCTCTGGAGGCAATTTGGAGTGACATCTGTAAGACCCCAAAAACATGCTTGAAAAGAGTCTTAAAAGGGCTTATGGTTTTTTATGTACTCTGACTTAGATGCACGGGAAGAATACTAGTAAAGATATTCTGAAGAGGTCAAAACAATAAAAAAATTGACTGGCAACTTTGGAAAAATCAGAAAATTTTGACGTAAGTTTAGAGCACCATTCAATCAACATAAAAGCATCTTCTCAAAGCATTGACTTAGCAAGCTCCAATCCCATCCATTTTTAAGTTACTCAAAACTGTAAGAAGAAGGAATGAGTAGAAGAAAGAGAAAGACAGGAGGGTACAGAAGAGAGCAAGTATAGCTACCACTCCTGGTTCCAGTGGTGTTCAGCTGATAGAAGTTCCAAGAAGAGATAGGGCCACGATGTGCTCACTGCATGTCCTGGCTTAGATACCCTTTGGCTTTCCTGGGCCCCTCCCCTGGTGGGACTTCTGGTCATCTGGTCACTCTGGGGCTAGAGTGGGGCTCCAGAGGTGAGTGTGGAGCATTGCTTGTGCTGTGCTAGGGATTGGCATCCTTTGCAGGGCTGCCATACAGGCCTGGGGGTGTGTGGGGCACATCATTGCCTCATGGAAGCCAAGGCCCAACCCACCCATTCCCATATGCACCTGAAATGTTTTGAGCCAGGAATCCTTTTAGTCTCAGAACATCTTTGCACAGAGAGCTACACTGGTACCACAGTCTTGATTGGACTGTTACTCAACCATTTGTTAATTATCAAGTGTGGATTTACTTCTTTACCTATGGTGTGTTCTCCTGCATCTGAACTCCATTCTAATTAACTTAATATACATAAGGTTTATAGCAGTCTTTTTTTCAGCTGTTGCATCTCCTGTTTGAACAAGGTCATCTACTGAAAGACTTCTCATTGAGCTGGTGTCTGTTGACACAGTTTTTTGTGACTGTGGTCACAAGGGTTTTCAGGATGAAGAAGAGACGAGAATGTTGACTCCATGATCAGAAGGCTTGATTTATTATTTTATAATATATGTTACATTAAGACTATACTAAAAAGAAATAGAAAGGAAAAGGTTTCTTCAGAAGCTAGCTAAGCTAAGAATAGAAAAGAATGAATAACAAAGATCTGTGTCTCAGACAGAGAGCAAGAGCCAGCTCTGTCATTAGTGATCAGTAAATCTAAACATCTACAGGAGACCAATCACAGGTCTACCTGTTGCATTCCACAGCAGCAGATAACCATTGTTTACTTTTGGTTGCTGAAACTGCAGCTTCTAACAAGGAAAAATCCTATGAAAGGATTTTTCATGAAAGATGTCTGCGACAGTTATTTCATGCATCCTTCGCTTCCTTTTATCAAAAATCTGTTTTAGTCTGTCTGTAACATGAATTCTTGCATCAGCATTGGTTTAAACATAGATTTAAGTCTTCCATCTAAATCCCCTTTCTGTTCCTTTTTTCTTCTTCTGCTCTTGCTCATGTCCAGAACTTGGCTGCCAGGCTGCATGCCTCCCTTATCCTGTATCTTGTGTTTCTAAGCTGAGACTAACTTTCCCTTTTTCTTGACCCATAACATTTTAAGAAAGCTCATAAAACTAAAGAGCCAAAACAATCTGCCTTCACTAATCTGCCTGTGTCAAGGTGTCTGTGTGGGCTGCAGCCCCCACAGTGCTCTCACATGGTTGGTGGGTGGCTCTGTGATTCCTCCTGCTGTGCCTTGTGTCTGCAGCCGGACAGCAGGACTCTGGACAGCTCTACCTAAAGGCTGCCAAGGGCTCCATCAGCGTCAGCCAGGATTAAACAGGCACTGGTAAATCTCTGCTGTAGCAGAAAGGAGGAAGCTTCAGAATAGTTGAAAGGGAAAACTTGGGAAATAGCTCTGAGGAGAGGAGGTGTTAAAACTAGGGACAGTTTTGGGAAGGGTGGAGGGTTTATTTATGGAAGAGTATTTCCCTGCACAGGGGAAAACTGACAGACATGTGAGGACACATACTGGCAGAGGACATGGAAAAAGGGCAAGTGGAAAGTTGAGTCTTTCCAGATATGCAGTTGGTCTGCTGTAAATTTCCAAAGTGAGCTGTGGGATGTAGTAAAAGGTGTAAAAAAATTTATACTGGTTGAGGATTTTGACTTAACTTGAAGTTTACTTTTAGGAGAGGAAGCTGTGCTCTTGACTGCTGGTTTTATTAATTTAGGATTTAATTGCTTGTTAAATTTGACTTCTAGCCACATCTGATACTTCAGTTTTGTGCTACCTGCATAGAGTGAGCTTCTGTACAATTTTTGCAAGAGGTATAATTTTTTGTGGAGTGGAAAAAGGGTGATAAAAATAAACTCGTCTATTAAAATTGTGGTTTCAGTGTGAAAGGGAAAATATGACATATATGAAATTCTAACTTCAATCATTAGGCTTTTGTTTGGCAATGGTTTAGATTGAATGACTAGAAAGAATAAATCTTGCTGTCAGCAAATTCGGGATCTACCACTTCTATTATTTGTGGTGTTTCTTTCTTTGCTGCAGGTAATTGCATCTTAAAATACTGAATTTCCTTCTCTTCTGA